ACTTGCAACTCTATTAGAAACTTTATGGGAGGTGATTGCAAAAACAAAACGAAAATGCAACACAATGATTCCACACAAAGAAAAGATATCAACATAAGAAAATAAGATTTTGGTTTGATGAAACCTAACTTCCTACATGAAGGCAAAACGGAAATGCAACACAATGATTCCACACATGTTCTTAAACAACAAAAAGAGAGGATGTCAGACCCAATCCACTCAATCCCATAAGAAACACCAATATTCAACCAAACTTATATTTACAAATACTTCAATTATAGTAGATGTCAACGGATCGGGTCAGTGTGGGTCTACCATTTGGCCCGACCCATTGAATCTCTAGTGCCATATGGTGAAATTGAAATGGCCAAGTATTTGGTTGCACATTCCATTTTTAACCGTTTGGTTAGGCGGAATAGGAATTGAGTTTCTAATTGAGGGAATAGTCATTCCATTTCTCTCCCATTCCCTTGATAATGAGAATTTCATTCCAACTGATTTCAATTCTGATTCCGGTCTGAAACTAACTGTGAAGAACCAAATAAACCCTTAATCCTTTGGGGTTTTTTCGAGTATTATTTGGATTGTATTTATAGACATGAATGCATGTAGATTAATAAACCATCTACCACCTAGTTGGGTTATGTATGAGAGAGCTATTCCTCTGTTTAATGCATTTTGATTTTATTTTACTTGATAAAAAGAAAGAAACTATTGGTCACCTAATCAGTGTCCAGTGAGTGAGTCACCTCCACGAGAGAAAAAGAGAAAAGGTTTCCAGTGAGGACACGTGTCACAACCAGATTTGGGTTATGAGGAAAACTTCTCACAATTCACAGAGTTGCAGACTGGGTTTCTTTTGGTGAACAGCTTGCAGCTGCACCACACCAGTTTCATGTGTCCTTTCAATTACGTTTGCAACTTCTGCTTTTTGTCTATCACACGTCAGAAAAGCAAAAAAGCAAGTGTTCTCGTGTTTGCGTTGGGCTGCCATCATCTCAAAAGCAAAAGTTGCTTTCATGCAGGTCCTTACTCTACCCATTTCAAACCATCTTAAGATTTTTACTTGGAAAAACAAAACATCTGCGAGTGGGCTTCTGCTGATCTGCTTTGATTGAGCAGCTTGGAATAGGCTAACTGATCACTAATTTCACTATAAAATTGATTTTTGCAGCTTAAGCCGCAATGCCCGCAACCATGTCTTCATAATCGTTATTGGCTAGTATTGACATAGGAACATAGGAACAGCCTTATGGACGTGGACAGATTTCCTATTCACCTTCTCTACTCGTGCCCCACCCCTACCTACAGTTCATTGCAGTCCCATTTCTCATAATATAAGATGGCGATGGCGATGTCGATGTCGATGTCGATGTCGATGTCGATGTGTGGCTATAATTTAAGAGGGATAGAATATGAATAGCGTATTGAACAGGAAATCTGATTTGCTTGTGGATATATAGATAGCACTGGCTATCCATTAATTTATCCATTATAGATAGCACTGGCTGTCAGTGGAATGGATTTTTTCTATTTTAAAACAGTCAATTGGATTTAGATTAAAACTGAATCTAATTTGATTTAATCCATTATATTCGGTTTCGGATCAAATTTGGATGTGAAGCCCCATGACCTGACCGACTGAACTGAATTGAACCACTTATATCGGTTATAGTTTTGAAATTTTGTTCAAATTAATAATTAGGTTGGTTTTAGTTCTTGCTTGTTCGGAACCACTTATAATAAAGTTTTTTTTTATAACTTTATTATATTTTATGTCTAAAAAAGATAAATTTGATACATAATGCATACGATAATTTTAGTTAAAACACTTGATTTATTAACACAAATAATTTATCATTTTACTGTCATTTTTATTAAGATCATATTATAAAAAAATAATATATATATATATATATATATATATATATATATATACATATATAATAAGATCTATCAAGTCAGACCCAATTATCCTAATTAATCAGAATGATTCTAGATCTATGATTTTATTCCCATTAATAATCGGTTCAGCACCAAGACACCTTGTATGGTTGGTTTATCTTTTAATCAGACCTGTGGTGAATTGCCAAGAATTTGGTTATAATTATATTGAGTTCACTTTTTATTGCGATATGGTTCTAGAAAGGAGAATTATGGTCATAAATATATTGCTATGGTCCCATCTATACTGTCACTTCATCTAATTCAAGGTGGGGCCATAATACATCAAAGATCTTGATTTCACTGTTTAAGTGCAACTTTAAAGTAGCAATGTCGTAGGCAAGGAACAAAGTATATATTGTTACTTTTGATACATTGAAAACCACTTGTTAGCATATTCCAACAACCATACATACTAAAAGTCTGACTTCACCTATCATTTCAAGGTTAAACATCAAAGCCCTAAACCCTCATATCTGATGTATCATCCAATGTTAAACATCAACATTAGTAAGTGTGCATGTATTTTGTACATGACAATTTTTTATGATGGTAATGATAGTTAATAATTTGTTATGTTATATATATTCGTCTCTATAAAAAATATTCTTATTTGTTACATTTATTTTTGTTTAACATTATGAATATATGTTATTGAAGATGTGACTAAATGTTTTTATTTTTTGTATTTTATTATCATTTAACAATCATATCAAGGGTTGACACATTTTGACCTCAAAGGTTGAATAGTTGACTTGCCACCAAACAGAAAAACAACTCCATTTTGGGTTTTAAATTTGTATTTTATTTATATCATCAATAAAATTAATTTTTCTTTATCACACTTATTTTCCTTAATTTAATATGGTTAATTAATATAATATTCAATGAAATAATGGGAGTTAATAAGATTTAATGAGAGGGAATTGAATGAAGAGAAATGTAGTAGTTCAAATTACATTTTGTGCCCTCACAATTAGAGAGGAACAAATTCAAAAATAGGAGTATTTTAGTAAAGAATAGGATAGAATGAATGTTAATGGGATTTATTACCTTAAATATAAGACTTATTAGTAAGGATTTGAATAAAGATAAAAGTAATTGTTCAAATTACATTTATGTCATTACAATTAGAGATGGACTAAATTAAAAAGGGAAATTGTCAAAAACTCATCATGAGTTTTCAGCATTTCTCTTAAACTCACCACAACTTTTCAAATGTCTAAAACTCACCATGTAACTAACTTGATGTTAAAGAGACTAACAACTGTTAATATATTACCATTTTAACCTTCATAGAAAAATATAAAATATATACAGATATTTTAATATTTAGATATGAAAAAAAGGAAAAGTTCAAAAAATATTTTCAAATATAAAATACATAAAAACACAGAAATTGGAAAAATATAAAAAATTATATAAATTGCACACAAAATAAATTCAATTTATAGAAACTATAGAAATTGAAAAACAAAATTAAAAAATATAAATTGTAGAAAAAACACCAAAAATTAAAAAATCATGTTATTTTTTAATCAAATAAAAGTACCACAGTTGCATTCATACTTTTAATATATAGTAGTATAAATATAGATATGATACAATACGTAGTGATACTTTGTTCCTTGCTCTTAGATAGGTTACTAGGTTCTACATGCCCAAACAAAACAAATTAAGAATGACAAAACAAAATAACAAGCAATGGAATGGATTTGGGTGAATGTACTCAAGATGGTGAGGACAAGCAGTATACAATGGAGATATTTTGGAAGTTTCTCTGTTCCCTCGCTTTTGTGGCAGTGTTGAAGTCGTGTATCATGAAGTGGTACATACCCTTTTATTTTTTAAGTAATAGCTTAAAAGAGCTATGAAGTTGTAGTAATGAGTTAGCCAACAAACTGAAAATTTAATGGGTCATTTATTAAGACACCTCCTATAGTTTCACGCGTATACTAACGCCTATCTTGATGTTTATTTATTATCAAGTAGGGTGTAACTTAGGTGGGCTCAGATCGGATTTTTGCCAAAATTCAAAATTTGAATGAGTCCAGCCCAAAGAACTAAGCCCGAAACAGCATAAAATATCAACTCAGACCAACCCAAATTGTATCCCTATTACTAAGATGATTTTGTATTTATGAAAAAAATACCCATAAAATGTCTCAAAACCAAAGGAAGAGAACAAGAATAAAGATAAGAATAAAATACATAATAATAAAAAAATACTTTCATTCTATTTTAATTTTAATTTTTTGTTTTCTGTTATTTAATTATTTTCCTCCACTTCCTATTTTTTTGTTATTTTCCTTATTATTACTATTTTAGTTTATATTTTCTGTTATTTTAATTGGTTGAACATACATTGCTGTGCGCTTTCTGCACAATAAGAATAAGAAAAAAGATGGGAATAAATATTTATCCACAAATAGGTTAACAGGCCATCGGCTAATGCATGGTGGAACCAATATTGTTCCTTAAAAATTATTGTCTTAACAAACTACTTAATGAATATTACACATCATATTAGAGGGTAGAGTTCAAAATTCAGTTCCAGCCTCCCTGTTTACGTCAGATAACCAGACGAGGTTGCAATGGCACCAGCAATATTTATCTTTCATAAATCGCAAGGTACATTCCTATCAACCATCCTTTCCGAATGGAGGACCCGACACTGTACCACTGCACAAGGACACTAGATGATGTTCGCAACCACAGCAAGGTTTAGAGAAGTAAGAAGAGTGGATCTCAACATTTTACTTTCTCCTTGCCAATATAAAGCAAAAAGAAAAAAAGCTTTTTGTTTTTTTTTTCCATCTGGGAGTGTCAGTTTCCACTTACCAACAATGGTACGAACCATTTCTCAAATTCCTTGCTCACGTTACCAAAAATAATGTACCCCACTCCTACTCAACTAGGTTATAATTTCTGGCCTGAGACTAATAAAGTGGCTACATGATTGGCGTATAATTAGAATAGAAATGCAAACAATAAGTGGAACCATTCTCCCAACGATGGACACAGGTGATGTAATCTACAAGTAAAAAACGACAATGTGAAAGAAAAATAATTTATTTACAAAAGCATAAGAGCATGTTACATCTTGATGTTCCCTTCATCCATTAGTCTTCTATTTCTCTCCAATTATACAACAAAGCGAGGGAGCAGCCAGCAATGATTATCGACAAACTCCCACTATACATCATCTCTATGAGGTAAAAAGGAAAAGGTAAAAAGAGATTCAAAATCTGCAACTTGCAAGAGACTGGAATAGATGACTCTCTCTTATCATTACTTCTTTGGTTCCCTCAATTTCTGGTTAGTGACGTGGTTGAAGCAGATCTAACTATAAGTATCTGCGTCATGATCCAGACCTGTAATAAAAGACAACCTTTCTCATTCTTGGACTGCATCAAGGATTCCCAGTTGTTTGCAATTCAATGTTAGAGTACCAGCAGTGATCACCGGATTTGAGTTCTGCCGAGAGATGATGCTCCAATGTCGCTGTCGGTGTTCTGCCATGAACAGCTCATTCCACATGAGTATTCAAAGTATAAAGGAGTAGCATTGTTTAAAGGTGAAAGAATTAAAAAGTCAAAGAAGAAGAAGAAGAAGAGGAAGAAGAAGAATCAATTAAAATGATATTGAACTTTTCTCCAGAAAACAAGACTTGCCTGTGATTTTGGAGAAGGGAAAACATTCCAGAACCTAAGTGTTTCATCTCCTGCTCCGGTGACAATTGTCTGTGTAAAAAGGCAACTATTATAGTTGTAGAAAGACAGAGAACAATGAAAAATACGCATACACTACTCAGAGCAAGAGCAAGAGTGAGCGAGCAAGCGAGAGAGAGAGAGAGAGTTCTAATTTGCTTATTTTAAACAAGAGAAATGAATAATGTTGAAGATGGCCCACCTGTCCATCAGGTGAGATGGCAAGATAAAGAACTCTATATGTATGGCCAGTAAGTGTTGCCAACTGCAGTAGAGAACAGTCATTATAAAAATAAATTAAATTAGTCCAACAACCTTGTTGTTTCTTAAAAGTTTGAGAATTCTAATTTACATACCTTTGACATGGAAGGATATCTCCATACAATTATTTGATTCTGCGAGTAACCATGGGTGCTGACAAGTTCATTGACATTCTTGGACCACACAAGATTGCATACCTGAATCATTGTGAGCCAGTAAGGATAATAAAATGCATGCTTTTTCTGTGTTGAGCAGCACCTACTTGCTGTTATTAACTATCAAGGTTCAATTATGGCAAACTACATAAGAAATTAGGTAATAAGCTTCAATGGATTTCCAAAAACTACAGAGAAAATTAATCGCACCCGACTGCATTAAGTTTGCACCATAGCTCAATAGCATAAAACACTTCAACATGTGTAGGAACAATATTTTGCATTCCATGTGCGAAACAAGAAGTTATACCTTTTCTTTTCCCCTTTCCATATTTTACTTTTGAATTCCGATTTGCTCCTCACAGAACATGCCTCACACCAACCTCACAGCATGTTGCAGCCGTGCATTGGGAACATCTTCCCATGAATGGCAACTTACAAGTACGGAGATAGTCCGACGTGCAGCTCCAAGTACTGTGAGATTGGTGTGAGGCACGCTCTATGAGGAGCAAATCCAGATTCTTTACTTTTTCCCTGTTCTCTCAATTTATTTCTTCATCACCTGTTCTTTTAAATGACTTCATGCTAAAATTCCTTTTTCCCCAAAACAGTGCATCAACTAAGTCAGTAGGAAATGATTTAAAAAAAACCCTATATTCTAAACAAAAAAGAAAAAAAACAATTTAATGACATATATCACCTGACTCCCTGTGTCTATGCAGCTCAAATGCGAGTTAGTGGTCGTATTCCAAAATCGGATGCACCGATCTGCAGTTCCACCACCAGAAGCAAGAAGCCCATGCAGATGTGGGGACCATGCAATTGCTTTTACAGCTGCAGTGTGCTCACAGTATTTCAACACAGGTTGTGTGGAATGTTGATTCCAAACAAAAAGCTGCACAGAGGAAACACATACAGATCTAAGAACAATGACCTTTGGTCATTGCAAATTATCACATGAATGGATTTAACATCTTAAGAATTGGCAGGAAAAACATAATCAAATAACTCACTCTATTATCATTTCCTCCAGATGCTAGCTCACGATTATCATAAGACCACTTCAGTCCACAAACCTATATGAGAAGAAAATTTTTAGGCCAAGATGATCTTTAGCTGTCACAGGTAACAAAATATAGAGGTAAATTATTTGGAAAAAGAAATTGATGATAATAAAATCATTGTAGGAGATCAATTTTAAATAAACAAACTGCTCTTGCATAGATAAAACTAGTAGCCACTAATTTTTCTGTTCTTTTTGAGTGAACTGACACAAAAGAATCCATGACAACAAAGTTTACAAACAATAGCTGCATAAAAGCATACAAACACAAATATCTAACAGAAATTCAAAGTTGCATTGGCTAACCTCTGACTTGTGCCCAGTCAGCTTGCTAACAAAATCTTCCTGAGCACGTATATCACGTTGAAGAATAGTCTTATCCCGACTACCTGAAGACAACAGTGATGAACTCCAGGCAAGAGCCCCAACTCGTAGTCGATGACTCTCCATAGTCCTCACCCTACGACAGCGTGATGCATCCCAAATCTACAGAAGGAAGATTTCAAACCCTTGAGTTAATATACAGGTAACTCAGAATAAAGAATAGCTTGCAAGTACTTAAAATTATAGAGGTAAGATAGCATTAGATCCTTCAATTAAAAGAAATGAAATAAAAACAATTTATATTAGATAATAATAACTGATAATTAAAAACCATGAAGAAATTGAGTATTATTGGTCAACTTACTTCAGAATGGGAATTACCATTAGATTTTCAACCAAGAAATATTACAACTTAAATTAAAGGCTAACAACAGCAAATGCAATAACACAAGCAACTATAAGCTCACACTCTAAAAGTTATTCTGAGGCTAAAATAAGTTAATCCGCAGATTTAATGAATCATGGTAGAAGGAACCCTATTTATTTATCTATTTATTATCCCTTTTCTACTTGGCGTTTGCATCACTTAATCATCTGCTTGAAGTGCATCAAGTAACAAGACCAAGTTCTCATGTTCAATGAAATTATGATTATCCAGGCAAATTGATTACCAATGATGGATCCAGAAGCAACAGCAACAAAATATGCTACTACTGCTAAACCCAAGTGGGAATATGGGAAGTTACAAATAACATCCGTGGAGTGTGAATTATGAATTAATTCTGACATGGGAAAATTGAAAATGGCCTCATACGGGGTGGATGGGATGTGATCTGACACATGCAAACAGCTACAGGTGATCATGGACTGGGCCAGCTTTGGGCCTATTACTTTAATCTATAAAATATTAGACATATAATTAGGGGTGCAAGACGGTCCAGGTTAGGTTGGGTTGAGGTGAACTCTATACCAACCCAAATTGTGAACCCATAACCCTAACCCTAACCTAACCATAAAACTTTGGGTTGGGCTCGGGTTGGCCCGACTTCTCTCTTCTTTTTTGCCAAATGTACTTATTTCCTACACTCTTAAGAATTTGCGTTATTCAATTTTAGCATTATTATATGTAATAGAACATAGTTATCATGTTTTAAAAGAATTGCCTATAAACTTAAAATTTTTGACATACAATGTACATGCATACATGTATAGATAGACAAATAGATAGATAAATATGTATACACAATTACACAAAAATACATAATTACTTGCAGCAAAAAATACATAAATATATAGATATATGCATTTATGGATGCATAGTTGCACTTGCATATGCATACATGCATGAATAGTGAATACATATATACATAAGTACTTGCATGCATAAATGCATATTTATATAATGCTTATACATGTAAATATGAAGAAGGGTTTGAGGTGGGTTGGGTTGGTTAAGGCCTCAACTCTAACCCAACCCAAAGTAAAGTTGGCTTCATACTTCTCAACCCAACCCTAGTTTTTCAGGCTGGGTTTGGGCTATCCCTGCCAAAGTTGTAGCCCTATACATAATATCTTTTTTTGATAATTCCCTATACATAATATTTATGTCATATACTTTATATAAAATAAAATATTATATATAGTATATAATATTTATACATATAATATATAATATAATATAACACATATATGTATATATAATATATAACATATTACAGGCTAAACCTAGATAGGGGTGAGCATGGGTCGGTCCCAGGTTTTTGGAACCTTATTAAGATAGGCCTTAGGGTCAATTCTGGACTTGGTGGTTCTAGGGTCTGTTCTAGGGTCTACCCGTGGAACCTATTCTTTCTTTACCCCCCCACCCCACCCAAAAAAAAAGAACTTGTTCTTTAAAATCTTGATTTTCAATAATAATAATAATAACAATAATAACAACAACAACAATAACAATAATAATAATAACAGCAACAACAACAATAATATAGTCCAAAACTTATCATTATAATTTAAATTTTGTAAATATTACCTTTTATGTTACTTACTATACACAAATATTAAATTGAAGAAAAATGATCAAAAAACTTGAGTAATTCAATGGGTCAAGTGAGACCATGGTCTTTGTAACCATGAGTGTTTGGGTTTAAATCTTCACATCCTCAAAGTATTTTGGATTTTTTTCTCCAGGCAAGTTTGATACTAAGACCAGTTCCACCAAGGTCAACCAAGGTCGGTTCTTTGGGTGGGTCCAGGTAGGATAAACCTCTAACCCCTAGAACTGTCTTGGGTGGGGGTTGCTTCCAAGAATTTAGAACTAGACCCTTCCCAATAACAAAATGGGTAGGGTCAATTCAAGGCTGGTTTGAGGTCGGTCAGATGGCAATCTGACCTGCCTCCACCAAGGCCCCATCCCACCCCCAGTTAGGGGGTTGACCATTGACCAGGTTTGGGGTGGGTTTCGAGGAAACCTGAAGCTATTCTGACCGGGGATAGGGTGGGACAGTATTTATCCACCCCACCCAGATATACACATATAATTGATAAATCAAACCATTGGCATACCCTTTAAAAATTTAAACATAAAGATATTAGGACTTTTAGAAGAATTTACAAAAAAGGAAGAAAACTTGGTCAAGTTTCTATCCTTTATGACCACAACCAATCAAAAAAGTCTCAATCCTTTACATCTTTACCCATTTACCATTAAGATATTAGATTATATATTTCTTAATTATTTTTCATATATAATATAATATATATAGTTTCAATCCTTTCTATCCTTACCCATTTACCATGGCTAACAAGGGCCAGGGAGGGGCGGGGCAAATTTGGGGATCTCTGTTCTCCATGGGGATGGAGCTGGGGCTGGGATTTCCAGCCCCACCAGGGTACAGGGTAGGGTACATGCAAAGTTGTCAAGGCGATACCTAGGCGCTAGGTGACAAGGCACCCTTGGAGGCTCGCCGCACCTAGCCTCACCTTGGTGCCTAGAAAACTATGGGTACTACATGTATTCGGGGTCAGGGTCGGGATATGTAAAACCCATCCCTGCCCTGTTGTGATTCCTAAACAGCTTCAAGTCCTAGATCTTCGTCAGCAAGGTAAGCTGATGGCTTTAGTGCAAGGCCTAAGTCTTGCTAAGCAGTCTAACTTCAAGAATTTGGAAGTTGAAGGGGAATTCAAAATTAGTTGTATCCTGGACTACATAAAGACACCATGTGCTTTGGATTTATAGGGATGCCCTTAGGGAAAATAGATAGCCTGTCAAAAGATTTGAATGCTACTTTTGTTTGGGTAAGGAGAACTGCAATGGTTTAGCTGACACATTAACAAAACAAGGGGTCTT